CCCCCCCCCAAAAACCCTGTTTTCCACAACGTCGGTCCTCCCGAGACTTGCGAATCCCCTCCTCTGTCAATCCCACCTACCAAAGAGATCCCGCCCCCGAAAAACTGCACCACAATCCGAGATCTCCGAGCGGAAAGTCCCAGAACAAACAATGACAACAGCCTAAGATCTCAGTCAAGCAGTGAGAAAAACCAGGTAAAACACAAGGAGTGTAACACCCACCCGCAACGGACCGAAAGGCGAAAAAAACCTGCTAGGAGAAGAAAGGAAAAAAGTAATGCCCAAAAGATCAGGTATCAAAAGTTACCCAGGTAGTAAAGAGACGTGACGAAAAAAGAGAAGAAGAAAATCAAAGATCCCGAGATACAGCAGAACCACTTCAGCCACAAGGTACACAAAGAAGTACACGTAAGATATCTCGCAACTCCACTTCGTACGGGTAGGTAGAAATCCTGCAAAACACCCTGCAGGTCATCGATACCCCACTTAGGGGCAGATCAGTACCGAAAGGTGAAAGGAGACATCAAGTAATGAGACAACGAAGCTGCTTTCGCCTCAACAAACGACCCAGGAGCAATAGCAAGATATCGAAATTCGAAATCTTGGTCATGGTTCTCGCACAAATGACATCCAACGAAAATCTTGATTCCTCAAGTCTCAAAAAGGGGCTGCGGGATCATCGAGGTTCAACTTCTCGTTCAGCTAGCATCAACCTAACCCCCTCATTCCCACCATCCGAAAGATGCTATCGTCACCGCCTCTCGATTCCTCGAAATCTTGCGGCCCTTTCAATTCAAAAGGGGAAAACCGACGAGAATCGGGCATGCAACGTTCCATGCACAACTCGGATCTAAAATGGAAAGGAACAGCACTAGCATCCTCTTGTAAAATTTGGGTTTGTTTTGAGTCGCTGCCAGACAATCCTTTGTAGACTAGCTTGACTTAGCCTCCATAGAACTCATTGTCAGCTGAGGAGGCAAGATATGGGGCCATGATCACCAGGTACACAGTCCTCTCGAAACTAGCCAAAAACCAAAAAGGTGGGAAAAACATCCCAAGGATGTGGTTGAGGGGATTGGTGGTTTTATACTGAGTTTCGGACTTCCGAGTACGATGTTATCCATCACCGCTGGTCTTGATGTGTTCTTATTAGGCTTCAAGAAATTTCGTATCAGTTCCTGTTGTGCTGAGGCTCGGATTTTGAGTTTCGAATTAATGAACCGTTACGTTAAGCTGTCCGTGTCACTTTCTACTAAGTGTCAATTGCCGGTAGTGTCGTGCTAAATCTGAAATCTGGGAAAAGTCCGTATCTGACCCCTCAAACTACCTAAGATTAGCACGATGGACTTAAGTGGTCGATGAGCTGGGGAAGGAATGGCGCTTTCACCCAATACAACAGCATAATCCATTCAATTTCTCCCGATTCTCCAAACCCCCAAAGCCCCACCGAAGAAGAAATTTGGCAGCCTAGTGGAACAACTGCCGTCCCCCCGAAACTATCCAGGCCACTTGACCTGATAGCAGTGCCCAACACAATTTCGATCTGCCGTCAAACTCGAGAATGCCTGCTTATTCTCGCACATTGCTGGCAAGGTCCTGGATTTGCAAGCCTAAGATAGTGACTGCATGTGCATCTGCGCCCAACATATAGACACTTCACTATGCTTCTATTGCTTCATATTGTTCACCTGATATCTGGCGATAGAATAGTCAGGAGGTCAACAAGCGGAAAGCCACCTTACACTCCGCACCTTTCAGACCGGCCCGAGAGAGGAAGTTTCGAGTATGTAGGGAATTCATTCTTATCAAGGCTATAGCTGGGAAGCCAACAACGTACTGTACACCCGCGTATCTATCCCCGTTACTGCTGCGTGTTGTTACCGCCGGAAGGGAAATTTCTAAGACAGGTCCAACGATCCGGTCAGAATCATAGCCGTTCCAGGGAAAATAATAGGTTTCCAAACAAGAGAGGGAGACAGCGGGTGGGAATATGAAGACGTGGTGATCATGTTGCGCCGCAGATAGCCGCGTGATAGGTCGCAGATTACAATGAACACAATAGCTACAAACAAGAACCATCATCAAATAGATGGCAGATCTGTACCTCGCCATCTTGCGTACCCCTATGTCGTTGGTCGATTGGATGTGCTCGTCCATGGCGCCTCCCGAGACAGTGGATAGGATTTGGTGGATTTGCAGCTTCTTGTCTGGTATGAGGATGAGTATGGAACTACTAGTGTTGTACTGTTGTATACCGGGCGGCCGTGTGCCAATGTGGGGGGTTCGTGTTTTTGAGAGAGGGTTGTCCTTTTTCAACCGTTCTTTATCCAGCGGCAAGACGCGGGAGATCAAGGAAAACTTCAAAAATGCGAACTTGGTACGGAGGCACGACAAGTAGGTGGTTGTATGATGAATTGGTACCAGTAAGGCTTTTGGAAAGAATGGCTGAAGACTCCCCTCATCCTCCCTTGCTATCCATGAGCCTACCACCATCAACAGGGCAAAATCATGACCTAAAATTTGTGCCAACGTCCTACAACTTAGACCTCTAGGGAAGCATTGAAGTTTCGAGACTTCGAAACTGGAAAACAAGGTACCAAGTATTCTTGTACACAGCGTCGGAGAATCACACCTCTCGTGCACCAACAGCCATGAATCGTCTGGCGGTAACCGAGGCTTGGCCAACCAAGACCATACTCATTAAAGCAATTCTGGCAACACCCAACCTCCACTTAATCATCGCGAACGATGGCTGATAGACCAAGTAGGCGCTGACCAAATTGTTGCTCATGCCTGTCGCTCGTCTGGGCCACACCAGTATAGGTTTCCCCCTCATTTGCCTCCCGGAAGGTGATTCCACGTCCGCTTTGCGAGAAAACGAGTTGGGAAATTAGCGATGTGAGTCTGCAATGTCGCCCCTTATAAATAGGGGAGCGTCTAAGCCTTGGCACAGCCGTATCCGATTCGCTGCATCGTCGTGCCGTTTAAGTGGACGAATTAACTCCTTGAACCTTTGTCGGCTCATTCCAATGCCCAAGGTTGACAGGTTGTTGGCTTTATTCAAACGTCGCGAAATCATCGAAATCGAAGATCGATCGACAGTTGGCCGGAGGGCTCTTCCGCAGCTTATATATGGGTTAAGCAGGCATCGTCGGGACCTTGACCACTCTTCTCGGAAGAGCGCGCATTGCACCTTCCTCTCTGAACCTTCCTTGTTGGCATCACTGGCTCTCCTCGAAGGTTGCTGGTGGTGTGTAACAAGAGGTGCCTCCATTGCATGATGAACGAAATATTGTTGAGTTGTCACGTGGCACAGAGATCGCAGCTCCTGGACATGATCGCAACCGAACCTGTTCCCGCTGCGGTACACCCCCAGCCCACGCAAGAGCAGATTGTTTTAAGTGAGTTGGCAGTTAGGCGTGTACCCATTAGATGATTTAATAAGATGGGAGCGCTGACCATTCTTTCTGGTCTCGGTCTGTATGCCCCTTGGCCTCTTTGACTTTGCCCTGCCATTGACGGGACTGGTAATGAAAAGGCGTTATAACGATGCGTTGAGGGGATATAGTTGGGAAAGAAGAACAATCCAACTTCACATCCCCTCTTTACCAGCGATTTATTCACACGCATAGGACTTCTTGGCGCTGCCGAAAAGCTAATGCTGCGATGGCAGGTTGGGGCCGCCGAACCACCGGGAGAGACCACAGTACGGGCCGAGTCCGCCCATCCCCCCCGGCAGCGATATCCGGTCCACATCAGCCCTTTTAGGTTTCCAAGCTTAAGCGAACAGTCGATGTCTCGTTTGCCATTGATTGGTGCATGCCATGCTTATGGGAGGCACACGTGAGCTGTAAAAGTAGGAACCTACAGTGAATAAGAAGAAAGATACCTTGGTACTCCAAAAATGCTTCGGATTGGTTGGATGCAAGGGTCTGACACGGTCACGTTTGTGGAAGACGCGAAATGTACGTTTTGGAACGTGAGAGGCAAGACAGACGGCGGCCGGTTATGACGTCCGATAATTGGGGGCCGTTGAGGGCTGTGTTTCCTACCGACCAGTCTTGATATTCATCGAGCTCTTCCAAGCACGTGGCTTGTGGAGAGCAAGCGCGGGCAATGAATTTACCTGGTAGTTCGGGTTCTTGCAGCGTGCGTGACCATTCATGCCTTGAAGGCGGCGAGGACGAGCGCTGAGAGGTCGAAGACAACTCAGGGAAGCTGCAGAGGAGAGAATGATGGACGCCGCCGAGAAATGAGCAAATAAAAAGCAAGGGAAGGATGTGAAGAAACTGTTGGATCGCCTACCTTGCCTCGGGACCCCTCCTCCATCATTTTGTTGAGTATATGATAATATGCAGACGATGGCCACCATCAGGCAGTGTGCAGTAGACAGTAAACCAACTAACAGGCTGTTGACTAGCGCGCATCATGCAACTTCAGCCCAATCGCGCGGGCAAGGATATTATGACCTTGAGCAGCTTGATGGTTGATATGTAGGGAACGAAAGAAAATGTTTTTCAGTATTGAAAGCAATATCAACTCACGGACTCTACCGGCGGTACCAATGTCGCTGCCCTTGCAGGTTTTGGGGGGTTTGCCTGGCAGGGAGCACTAGATATTGGAACAAGCCAGGTGATGCCATTGTGCATGGCGAAAGTTCGAAGGATGAAGCATCTTGGACCCTCGACGAAAACAACGGGGACTCCTCATTGGATCGATACTGGCTGTTCCCGAGGAAAACGGACCCAAGATGGGAGAGACAACATCCGTAAAGGCAGCCAGCAGCAGCATTCTGCTGGTCAACTCGCGATAACCATCCGCAGCGCAGAGTGGTCGAAGCTTTGAGGGCTGAGACACTTAAGCTTAATACCTCGTTCGTCCATGCCCCTTTGAGATCATCAGAAGGGAACTACGGGGAGGCGCACTACTCATCGGCACTGAAATGCAGATCTGGTCCAGTACTAGCAGCAAAAGATGGCGTTGTCTGGGTATTTTCCTATTGGCTTGAAGCAACCACCCTCTCAATGCAGACCGAAAAGCTTCAAGGGCCCCGCAGCGTAGAAGAAAAGCAAGAATATGGAAATCATCCCATCGGTGTAGAGTGAAAAAAGAGCCAGGGCGTTGGAGGCGTCGCGCTGTGCAACGTTTGGTTGCTGTGCCTCTTTTGATTGCGGAAGGTCTCTTGCTAGACGTCGTGATCGATTTGATAACAGAAAATGGCCGAGTGGCAAAAATAGATTCAACCAGGCAGAGGCCGGAGCATGAGCCAAAAGTTCAAGCTACTGTTCGATAATCACTAGTGGAAACGGTCGGCCCACTGCAGGTGGCTGCGCTGCTTATTGGCTGCAGACCGGGCATCGATAGCTTCTATATTCTTCACTTCCAGCTTCGGTCTCATCGTACGGATCATCAAACCCAGACACCTTGCCACACGCAGATACGGGCAGAGAAGACAGCCTTGGTACCCCTCAAGGTCGTTGTCTCAAGTTTCAAGGCAGAGGTGACTGGTCAAGGCACGCCACCGGTGGACGTCGGAGGCAGTGCCGGCACCATGAGGCTCTGTGAACAACCGGCCCTTGGAGTGGTCTTTTAGTGACCCGGATCCGTACCTGAATTAGTGATGATGGGGAATGACACGTCGCATTGAGACCCCGACAACATAGGGGAAGGGAGCGGGGAGGTCATTTTCTGGAGGGGAGTCTGAGATGACTTTGTCAATGGACGGATGAAGGAATAGAAACAAGGCGGGCGCCGATAGCCCATGCAGAGGCGGTTGATTTTCCTCCACCTGGACTCTAGAATCCGAGGGAAGCAGGAAAGAAGCCGTCCAGGGCATGTCTTTTTTTCAACGTACGAGACGCAATGATGCAGGCTCCAAGTGAACGGCTCGGTGCGTGTTGCGCTGCCCATCTCACTGGCAGCGTGCAGCCAAATAACAATCATTTTGATCCCAGGTAGCCCGACTGGGACTCGCAGCCATGGATGGTGGAAATGCGAGGTTGGACTAGATCTAGATCTTGTGTTGCCCTTTGCTCTGCGTGATGCTTCTTGATACTGCCATCCTTTCCTGCTCCTGCGTGATGCGTGATGGTTTGTACACAGCTGCTGGCCCTTGGAGCGAACCCCTTTATCAAGAGCATCATCCACCATCCTCGAACGGGCTCGAGTCGTTCCTATCACGTCCGTGTCGAGTCCGCTGTCCCAACTTCTCCCCGCCGTGCTTTTTCCTGATTTGGGCTGGTGTAGGTCCCTTTGCACGACTGCTGTTTCTATTGACCGGATAGATTATTGGCTCTCTCTGTGCGAGCTTCTCTTCTCGGCCCTTCCGGTGTCGGTAATTTCACCAGACGGAATACTCAGGTACGTCGAGTCCCAATACGACGGAACGCCAATATCGTGAAGATCACGTCGACGTTCGTGAGGCTGCTGCTGCTGCTGTTGCTGCTCACTCGCATTGGCACTAGCAGAGCATTTCCCCCTCAGGAGCAAGCGGGGAGGGGAGCCTGCACTTGCACTGGCTTGAGCTTACTCTCGCTAGCAGAGCTACCTGGACTAGCAGGGAGGGGCATTGAGCTGCGTGTGTACGACCCGAGAGACGCCCATCTCCACGTGCGTCTGCTCTTCCCAGACCACCCTTTCCATTTTCCAGAGGCAACGTGCTTGTCGATATCGCCGGCGTTGGTCTATCGTTATTCAGAGTTATAACTGCTCTGCCCCCCAGTCTTGTCGCTCGGTCAAACTCCCTCGTACATCGCTTCTTTCCCTGACACCCAGCACCAGGAGAGGAAGAGCAATACCCAAGTATCCAGCAAGATCGTCTCTCAGCCCCGAGAGTGTCAGTGTCAATTTACACTGCACTGCCGTCAGCTCCTACCTGGCTTCGACCTAGCGAGTCCAGCTTCGCCGGTATCATCCCACCTCAGCACCAGCGGCAACCACGGATCCAGCAATATCATCCGGACAGAGTGACTGCCGGCATCGAGCAGTAGAACGACGATTAAGCTCGTCCTAGACCACTTGTCCGTCGTTGTTTCGTAACACCAGAATCACAACTTCACTTGAAGGTTGGCACTCCCACATACAAGTTTCTCTTTGGGCACCGCAATTTACAGGCCAAGAAACTTCACTCCAAGACTGCCGCTTGGTCGCCGTCGTGGTGGTCGTCCAGCTGCCAGGGTTGTATCGCCAATTTGGTACTTGAACCCCAGCCGTGCGAGTGAACCACCGTTCCAACCTCCTGACATTTCAAGGCCCATCGCAATTTACTCGACATCCACATCCCTTTCTGCAAGCGAGCGAGCGAATCCCCAGGATTATTCACAATCCGAAGTTACCATCACCCTTTGCCGGAAGTCTGATATTGTCTCTGGCTTCAACATACCCGTCATATCGTCGATCCTGGTGTGCTTGGCCTGACAGCTCTGACGAATCTCACTGCATCGTGCCCTGGTCAACGACTGGGAAGCATCTGTCCATCGTCTCACACAGTCTCAGCAGCCTTTTCGAGCGCTGCACCTTCTCTCGACCCATCAGAACCCCTCTTTCATCTACCTCCCATCCATCCCATACACTCACTCCCAGCCATCCGCTGCCTCCTACGCCCTAATCACAACGTCAGGGTAGTATTACCCCCTTTTCTAGCGTGGGCTATTCCTGATCCGCAAGTGTTGAGAGTCCGGCACTGTCAGGTTGTCTCTCCCCGGCTGGCTGCAAACACATTCCCCAGAAGTTGAATCGCAGACGCAAAACATACGATCTGGCCCCCATCCCGTAACTCACCCTCTCCTTTTCCTCGACCATCCTTTTTCTCGACATTTGGAGGCTTCTTTGGCCTCTTCCATCGATTGAAGCCTGCGAGTGGCGAAGCGCACTTATTCTATTGTCCCCGAGGCATCTGAACGGCGCGCACTAGATCCAACCGTCGTCAAGCGAACAGGATAAAAGTTTTCAGGATTGGGTGGGTGTGAGCGAAGTGCGGAAATATCGCCCATTTCGCAGGCATTCGTATTGCGTGCAGTAGTTTCAAGGTCGCCTCCTGGGTCCCTCCAAGGATTGCTGTAGATTTGGACTGATCTTTGGATTGATCGCATCGCATCGCATCACATCACTGCTAGCGTCCATCGCTAGCCCTTTTCATTAGCTTAGCGTGGATTGGAGACGAGAGAAAAGGAGAGATTGAGGATCGTAAGGCTGTAAATCTGACGTGCATTGTACATTGACATTGTACATCGACATTGTACATCGACATTGTACATCGCGTCAAGAAGCGAGGAGAAAGGTTTGAAAGGGCCCAAAATAAGATCAAGGTTGCTACCAGGGGACGATCACAAGACGAAGGAGCGAGCCAGGGAAGGTGTTTTGCAGAAGGAACAAGGCTCCGAGGAAAGTACAGTACAGCACGTACAGGCCCTCCTCCTACTCACCCTACTCTCGACTACGTACAGGCCTACACTTGGTTCCAGCCAATCAGGCTTTCGAAGGTCGACGCGGCAGGTGCAGGACGGAAGCTTACCAGATTACCACACTACACGCTACCACGCTACCACATTACGGTACCAGCATTGGAAGCGAGTTCTTAGTCTCTTACAGGGCCCTCGACGCAACGCGCCACCCCACCGGCAGGAGACTGAGCGACTACTAATAATTAGGCCAAGACCACACCACACCACTGAGACCACTGAGACCACTGAGACCACTAAGACCACACCACTCAGGGTGCCCTCGACAGCACCAGCACTCTAAACGCTAGACACTAAACCGTTAGCGAGACGCTACAGCTACAGCTACCGCTCCGCTGCTACCGTCCACCCTCACCTCCGTCGCAGTGAATGGGCCGGACCTTGACGGGATCCTGACATCCTCTAGCTCTCGAAGTGCTCCGTAGAGAATCGTAGGGTTCATCGCCGCAGTGCTAGCACTAAGCACTCGACTATCACTTACTAGCGCCCGCACTGCCGTCCGTTATCGACCCCGTTACAGTTACGTGCAGAGACGGCTAGCTTCAAGCTTCGCGAAGTGGAGGATCACGAGGATCATTCACCAGGACCAGCCTTGAGTGCTTGACCTCGACGTCGACGTCGACGCGCTTCGCTCTGGTCATCACCCCCAAAAGGATACGCTATTTGAGCGTCAAGCATCAACCGCTTGGCCCGACGCGGTGCTGTGTGCATTCACTCCCTCGCCCTCTTTCTGGAGGACACCTTGAGTACACTCACTGCCCTCCCCTGTCTGCGTTGCCCTGCCCCAGGTTGCAACCCCCACCCGTCTCCCATCTCCCGTCTCCCCCCTCCATCCCCTTCCAGCCATCTAGACCCCTACCTACATCAACGCCTACGCTCAACCCAACACGGAAGGGTGCCTCGACGCTGCATTGGCATTGCCATTGGCATTGGCATTTTTGAGCCCCCTCATCGTTTGGGTGTAGCCACCTGCACTGCTGCACAGAGTCAACCACTATTATCACCAACACCACCACCATCGCGCTCCTCCGCTGGTCGTGAGCGCGCCCTGCAAGACTGCACTGCCTAAGAACAGACGAAAGTCCACAGAGAGGACTTCAGCGAATCAGGAGGCGGCGAGCGACGGCGACCAATGATTGAAAGTAAGTTGATTCTCTGCTCTCTGCCTCTTTGCCTCTGCCTGCCTTGCCCTACCCTGCCCTACCTCTTAGCTACCTTGCCGACCTGATCTACCCTCGACCCTCGACCCTACCCGACCCACACCCTACACAACCTCACACCTGGGTTTCCTTCCTCTTCCTTGCTCCGCTTTCTTCCCCCCAATTCAATTTCAGGTTGTCGGTGCTCTCGCGTTGTTCTGTCTGCACGGCACTGCACTCTTTTCTGCCCCTAACCCATCATCCCATGTATATAGAGGGCTTCGGCCTTCCAGCGTCCGCCGTTGAGCCTTCAGAACTTCTGACGTGCTACTGCTGCTGCTGCTCTCTTTTCTACGTTTCGCAACGGCTACATTCATAGTCGCCGCGACGGCATCTCGAGACATTTAACGCTCATCCTGCCTTCTTCTCCTCCTCCTCCCCTCGCTTCATCTGCTTCGGTAGCCTTCTCCATGTTCGCAACATTGGCTGTGGTACTGCTCATCCCTTTTCTTGCCCCTTGTTTTCCCCGTGTGTTGTTGATCGATCGCCAAGCGTGTGCTCCGCGGGTTGCTATCGATGTTGACGGATGACGGATCTGCGTTGCGCAACCGCACCCGCCATCAGATCCCGTGTACGACCTCGAACTCCTCTCACGAACTGCTGCTGGTGGTGGGTGGAGGTGGATGCGGGAGAGTCCCTCTATCACAGGCCCGCTCGTGCCACCCCACCCCGGGTGCAATGCCAAATGGGGCCCCCCCTTTCTGCCATTCTGTTCGCAATTCCTTTCCATCCATATACTGCTCGCTATACCACGCTATACCACCCTATGCTATGCTATGCGGGGAAGACACTCCACGCCTGAAGCAACGCCTCCTAGTCAAGGGGAACCACTGCTCTCGCTTCTGCGTCTTTCATCCCCCTCCCCGGCATAGCTGTAGCTCGGTTCTTGCACACTCCACTTCCACTCGCCTCGCCTCGTAGCGAACTCCGAAGAGCACGGTACTGACATCTCCTCTCAGTTCTCCCACCGGCCCCATTGAATAGCAATAGCAATCACTTCATGTGCTCGCAATCTGGTAATCCTCAAGACCTTGCTGCTTATTCAGGGCATTCTCCTTCGTGTATAATCGGGTCGGAGCCTGAGCCTGACAGCTCCTCCAGACAGGAATTCACCCATCCCCCTTCCCTCCCGGACATGGGTATGCGATACCTGACAGCACTTCCGACCACAGATGATGTTCGGTGAGTTCCCACGCTTTCCTACCTCCTCTGCATTGGTCATACGTTCTCGTGATCCCCCAACCCCTTGCATTTAGGCACTGGCGTGCCTTTTGTCCTCTGTACGCAACGGCTCTACCTCTTCAATGTCCTTCCATGCTCCGCAAAAAGAGAGCTTCGCCGCCTGAGCTCCCGTGGAGAGCAAGAGAAATGCCACGACTTTGCCTTCTCCCCACGCCGGCTTCACGTTGCACCGCCTAAGCCTCACACCAGCTTCGCCGTGAGCTGCCGCAACGACAACCACTCCAGGAGATCACGCGAGGAGCCCCCGCTCTTGTGGGACCGGCGTTGAGCTGGCTGTCCTACGTAGGTCGCTATGCAGAAACTGGGCACCAGTACCGCTAGGCGTTCTTGTTCAACTTTAAATGCTGTCTTGCAGTCATGCAGTATGGTGGCTGACGACGGATAACAGATTCAACACGGAAACCGGTACATCACATAGCAGCCCTGTATATTCGCTTGAACCAGCAGTTCAGCAGAACACCTCTTCCTCGTCGACCTTAGCCTTTTCGCCCTACTCCAATATCTACCAACCCAGCTTAAGCGGTTCCACGTACTCTAGTGGAGCTAGTAGCTACTTCACCCCAAGCACCTCCCTCTTTTCGATGCCTGATCTGAAGCCACGTTTAGGCTCATTGTAAGTCATCCACCCTCTTTTCTGCACCGACGGCCCCCCTATCTGTTACCGAGAATCTCAAGAATCGCCGGTGGTCGATAATAATGGCATATTTGTACAGAAACCCATCCACTGGTCTGGCGCCACCAACACGATCATCTGCTTTACCTCATCCCGGATCACCTATCAATACCAGAGACCTTTACACAGGTACAACTCCACAACTTCGGCGGACTTCAGATCTTCTTTCGAGATCTCCTTCGCTATCGGCCGTCAGAGGCGTGCCCTTATCACCATCTTCTACTAGTGGGTTTACTAGTCCTACGAATATGGAGAATCCACTAGGTGGACCTTCGTGTCCGCCATTGAGTCCGACCGAAGTCATATACCCACTCCAAACATCAGACGGACAAAGTCTGAGACCCGATATCTTTGGTAGAATTGACAAAGGCTTTTTCATGGCGGATAACGACTGGACATGTTACCGACGAAATTATTTCTCTCTCAATTGCTCTTATACCATTCAGCCAGCTCTTCCAGCAAATGGAACTGTGTATTTGGTGGAGAATGGGCGACTGGGTCCACAGGTTTATTCATTCGCGATGTCGATTGCCGCAGTGGTCGATGGACGAGACGGAAAATCGATTGAACTCGTTCAGCATACCCCCAAACGAGACAAAGGGCCACAGGAGAAACCAGCCCGAATCACGCTAGCCCCACGACCCCCCGCTTCTCATGGTATGTACGGTGAAAGCTCTTCCCGTTCTGGCCTCTACGAATCGCCAGGAGGATTTGGTCAAAATCCAAATCAACCGGCAGTTGAAGCAACATTTGAGCGCATTCAATTTAAAAATGCAACTGCAAATAATGGAAAACGGAGAGCCGCTCAGCAATACTACCACCTTCTTGTAGAACTCTTTGCGGATGTGGGAACTCAGAGATCAGAGCGTTTTGTTAAGATTGCCTTCCGAATGTCCGCTCCCATGGTCGTTCGTGGTCGCTCTCCAGGCCACTACCAAAGCGAGAGACGAGGGAGCAATGCGAGTGCCGGAGGATCCGGGGGTGCAGGAGGTGCAGGCTCATACACCTCAAGCGCAGGCACTTCTAGGACGCCAGGAGATATGGGCATGTCCGGAGGATCATCGATGCTTCCAGGTACTGGCTATGGAGGGTCGTATGATAACCGATCCCATCATTATCGTTCGAGTATGGCTCCCTTGCAGATACCGATGGAGCCTGTACTGTCTGCCGAGGAAGCCAAAGGCATCGAAGAATCACCGGGTTATCTTTATTACCCAGGCGCGATCTACGAAGGCCACGAAGCCCGTTATCAACTTCCTAGTATGTCGGAATATTCCAAAGTCAAACAAGAGTACGGCAACTCGGGTGGCTATGTTCTTCCCAGTATTGCCAGCACCCAAGAAGGGTTAGGTAGACATTGCGGGCGCTGGGAGGGGACGGCTGAGTCCAAAGGATATTTCCCTACGGCATTGATCCAGCAAGAACTAAACATCAGCTAGATCTTTGCACTTGCAGGACTCATCATGATTTACACGCGCAGAGAATCACTTCAGAATACGATGCATTGTTGCGATTTTTGCAATTTGACGCTTTTCCACATTCGCTGCAATCAGCCGCGAGGAACAAGATAGTTTTCTCTGGGAACGGAAATGGGACAGGGGCGCTAGGAACATTAGATACCAATTTTGTCAATTGTTTATCGGGATTGGGAACGGGTGCATTCATTGGAAGGGTAATCATCTCACTATCGCATGGCGAGAGAAGGAAAAGTTCTTTTCTATTTATTTATTTATGCTTTTTCATGTTATGTGCTTTTTTTGGTTTTTGGTTTTTGGTTTTTGGCAGAAAGTGGCCATTTATATTATCTTTTTCGGCATGGCTGTTAAATATCTAAGAGGGTCTAAGGCGAGAGAAGGGATGGATCCGATGATATATGGGCAGGTGAAAGGGAAGGATGAACGGAACCCCCTATGTTGTTGCTTTTTTCTTTTCTCTCTTTTCATGTTTTGCTCCTTTCTCGATTTTTTTTCCTCCTCCGCCAGCCAGGGTGTTCATGTTTCGAATGTTGCCATGCTATCTTTTTGTCTTTCCTCATGGAATCGTATGTCGGCATTTTTCTTTTCTTGGAGGAGGAAATTCAGATACAGGACTCCCCTTCCCCCTTTTTTTTATTTCGCCCCCTCGTTGTAATTCGTTGTATCTCGCTAAGAGAGGGGGAGACAATCCGGAAAAGGGTATTTGTTTATTGTTGTTTTCTGGAATTTGTGGGGAATCTCGGATGGAGGACTTGACTTCTGAAGACACAGTCAGAAAAAGGGATGGATGGGTCGGGAAAACCCAAAAGAAAAAGGGAAAATTGTCATCAACCAACCAACCAAATGCTTCTCACACCTCACCTGCCCCCCCCCCCCCCCCCC